AACATGTGCTCAATCTGCCACTGATGGAGACACGAGCACCTTATTTCACATTTTCATGAATATTTGTTAGTCAAATATCACTGAAACCATATATCAAATCATGGCTAATTAATCGTTAAACGTGATAAATACCCTTTGCGAAGATAAATTACTTAAAACTTCTGATTAATTTAATAAAAATCCACGAGTGGTCACAAATAGGGACATTTACCTTAGTAAAAATTAACTGTTTTCATGTTAGAATATGGCTTAACAAAATAATTACTTTATTTATGTAATAAAAATTAGTATTATCATAGTAAAAGTAAAGTCGGAATCATGTTGTGAGAGTCCATCGAAAATACAAGACATAATAAAGTGTAATTTAAAATTGTATTAAAACTTAATACAAAATTTTCTCCGTGAAGGTTAGGGCGCTACAAACAAACGTTTTGCCGTATAATTCCGTTATGACAGGATATTCGTATTGACAAATACTTAATAAATAAAAACTTAAATGTTTATTTATTTGCTTATTATTGTATTATATTAATTTACTGCTCAATTCAAAATTCTGAATAGAGAATACAGTTTTTCAATCCATTTTAATGGATTGAATTTTCTTGATTACTGGAACTCAGACTACTTGTATCACTATTTTTAAATATAAAGTAAAACAAATATTTATTTATACGTTACATACTTTTAAAGAAAGTCCAAAATATAATTGGATAATATTTAATTGTTGCTGTAGATGGATCCACGAGGACTATTCGTAAAAAGTTATATTTCTGCTATTACAAACGTGTCTCAAAATTTATTTTACATGTATAACTTAATTTATCGAAGTTATTACTTATATTCCTTATATTTATATTACCTATATTACAAATGTTTATTTTCATCATAAAAATCATTAATAATGTATTCCTACAATAAAAAAAACAAAATCAATGTTATAGTTAGCATTTTTTTGTATGTGGGATATTATCCGCATAGTGGCATATTACCCATTTTTCAGCACTTTCGTATTTCTTTATTTTTAATAATAAAAAATAGAAATATTCGATTCCAATCATATACAAATACTTAATAGACAAAGGATGGAAGAAAAAGATCAGTATGTAAAATTATTTTAAATTGAACAAATAATTACTCAAAAATCTAATTTCGCTTATTCACCCCACTTACCCTGTTTTTCTCTTTTATCATAATGCAACATAATAATGCGTCTACTTAGACTACATTACAAATAATTATATTCTATCGTGTTGGCATATCGCCAGTAATTGTTGTGATAATTTTAATTTTATCATAACTTTTTTATTAATAGAAAAAATTCTTTTTATAAATAAAAGGAAAAACATTTGTTGTTACAAGGTTTAATATATTTATATTTATATTTTTTATTATTATAATCTATGTACAATATATTTCAGCATGCAGAATTACAGTTTATTGAAAGAAATATTATTAAATGATATTTTATTTTCTTTCAACATGATTTTGTCATGTTTATCCTCGTTAAAGAAAACAATTACAGATTCGTGAATGAGTTCGTTATCGAAAGGAGGCTTGTGAATTCTCCGAAAAAACTTTAAAACGCAATGAAAAGCAATTTACTTTTGACGTACTTTACATTACTCGTATGAGCTCAAATGTTTACGCGTTCAAGGACTTGCAAGAATTCAGCTGCAAAAATGTAACTTTCTTTTCAATAGAGACGGCGACTCTGAAACGAAAGTCGTGTTGCGGAAATCGAGTATCGACCTTTCAAATTGCGGGGGCTCCTCCGCTTAGTCGACATCTTGTCGGTCCTATTACGCGAAATTTAATGGAGAACGTCACGTGGAGACAGCGAGACGGGAGTGGAATTCTAATGTATCGTATATCTACGATGATATTATATATATATTATATATATCCACTATGTTTGCCATAAAGCTTCATGTGGATGGTATGCGCAGCCAGCTGTATTTACTCCCGTTCGATCTCAAACGACATTTCCGCAGATCACGCCAATCCCCTTGATTGAATATATCAGCATTCATCAGCGTTAGCGTTCAATGTCAGCGTCTTTGTTTTCATGTGGCTTTAGTTTTATGAATGTTATGACAAGGATTTACTTTGATTAAATTAATTTATATTAATATAATTTCTCTATTACGTTCTTACATCATTACCTTATTATATTATATAAATTTTTCTTATATATAGTAATAGACGCGCAGCGCACATTTATTTCTATATAGATATTAAATATTCGGTGATACATGATCAACATCAGCCGTTAAAAATTAACTTTTTTCGCAACTTTACATTATATATAAAATTTTATTTACGATTCTAATTTATTAATCAGATTGGATAAATAATATAGGCAATTTCTGTCTAGCCGTGATATCCTGTCGAATTAATTTCATTCTCAAAGGGTTAATCGAAGGATAGGACCTGCGGCGTGTGTCCATGGCCGAAGATCAAGCTCCCGTCCAACTTTTCATGCGCGCACGTACTGCCGGCGACCTAGCTGCCGTATGCCGACGCGCAACGTATTTCTATTGAATTTATTTCGGTGCCGCGGACGGTGCACGTTGCTGATTGCAGCTACATCGAGCCGGCCAGGCAGGCAGGCAGGCATCGGGACGCCCGCGCCGG